ACTTTAAAGATAGTTACACCATTTGTTTCAAAACAGAAACTGTCCATTCCCTTTGAAAGGAAGCAGATTGGACGTGGCACTGAGTGCCATGATCTAGTAAATGGACTGGATTTGGACCAAGGGTTGGACTCGATGATCTCGGAGGTCTTTTCCAACCCAATCGATTCTATGATTCTATGATTCTAAATGGTCAGGAAAAACCTTAACACAATAGAATGCCTTTTTTTTTTTGTCTTGTATAGATACATTCTCTTTCTTGCTGGTGTTATTTCAAATATCTGCGATTGTATAAGAGATCTATTCTTCACAGTCCCTTTTGCTCTGCACTTGCAGTTCATTATAGTCTTTTATTTGTGATGCTATAGTCTATTGACACAAAAATTAGCAGAATTCCATAATTATGCTCACATCTTAAGATCCCTGCTTTTTAGAGGAGTTCATTATGAAATACAACTTCTGTGTTTAGGACTTTTTTACAGAAAAATTTTTGGGGGAAATATGGTTGTAAATGAACACAGATTTGGATAGTTTTGTTAACATGACAGAAGCATGAAAGATGCTGAGGCAGAAGGGACTGCTTTCCTGTGCTGGGCTGACCTGGACAGCAATTAAGTGCCTGCCAGCTACTTGCTCTATTCCAACTTCCCCCAGGACAATGGAGGAGGGAATCAGAAAAGCAAACATGAGAAAAATTCATTGGTCAAGATAAAGGAACTTTAAGAAAGTGAAAGGGAAAAAAAAGGAAAAAAACCCAAGCAATGCAAAATGTCCAACCAGCCGACTGAAGACCAGCCAGTCTCTGAGCAGCTGCCACTGATACCAAACCCATAGCTTTTATTGCTGAGCATGATGTCATATGGTATGGAATATCTCTTTGGTCAGTTGGGGCCAGCTGTCCTGGCTGTGTCCTTGCCCAGACTCTTGCCCAGACCCAACCTCCTTGCTGAGGGGAGAAGCAGAGCACCCTTCAGCAACAGCCAAAACAGTAGTGTGTTACCAGTACTATTTCATCCAAAAATCTAAACCACAGCACTGTATGAGCTCCTATGAAGGAAGTTAACTCCATCCCAGCCAAAACCAGCACACTTCCCAAAGGAATAGGTATTTTAAGCACATTTCGATATTTTTGATTTCTCTCCCCATAAAAATGTTTCTCTGAGGAAGACTGCTATTGAAGTGTGTTTGATTTCAGTTTTAATGACCAGTGGTACCAGTCAAATCTGGGCTTTATCAAGTGGTTTTCTATCCAGTAATCATAAAATGTGGTTCCGCTTCTTCTTTCTAACGCTTTTAAGAGGCGACTTTTTCCTCTATTTACACATGAGAGAGAGCTCTTTATATCTTTGTATTAGCACTTTGCCCCAGTGCCACTGATGAAGCTTCTGCTGATATTCCTGCTTTGGCTTTTTTCTGTCATGAACACTTTTCTGATTTTTGAGAAACCTTATGTAAGAAGCAAATTTAGATGTCTCTGAGGATCATTTCTAGAAAATCTTGGTAGGTGCCTCTGAAACTTCCCCCTTAAGCCTCTGCTTCATTTTTCTGTATTCCTTTATTATTATTATTCCTTCTGTATTCCTGCAAGTTTTTAAGGATATGGTATTCTTGGTTGAGAGTTTTTAATTAGTATAATACAGCCATGTATAATTGTTTATCTGTATTTCTTTTCAAGATGCCAGTGATCAAAGAGAAGACATTTACATTGGAAATCATATACCTTGTTCAGAAAGCTTCAATGGTTACTGTATACATGGAAAATGTGAATTCATTTATTCCACTCAGAAGGCTTCCTGCCGGTAAGTCCTGCATGCTTCCACAATGTGATTGAAATTGCTGTAAAGCTTAATCAAAATGCTCTCTAGACATAATTACAGGATGTATCACTTTGCAGTTATCTAAGCAGTGGCACAGGGGCTGTATCCCTGTGCTGTGGCAGCACTCAGCTGCTCCAGTCATGAGAGGGATAGTGCTCAGAGGAGAGGCTCAGTGAGTCAGGTAAATCAGAAGCTGAATCCTCCTGAGGAATGTAGCCTTGATGTTGTCTTCTTATTTTCAGCTGATAAATCCTATCTAGAGAAAAAAACCAAAGCAAACAAAACACAACAAATATTAATAAGCCTTTGCCTTGCATTGCTTCTCTGTAAGACTCTGCTTTCACTGTTGACCTCTCTTCTTATACTGTCTGTACATTTTATTGCTCCTGTCATAAGCTCTCTCTAGAATATCAATATCTTATTTTTAACATTTATTACCCTTTGTCACAATAATAGCCTTTATCTAGAGAATATAAAATTGTAAAATATTCTTTAGCCCACACTTTTTATCTATAGTATGATCTAGCAGCTCAATACACTCAGTATTAAGCCGCTCGTGTGTTTCCCAGGATATCTGAATGTTCCTTAGGTCCCAAATAAATTTTTTCCTTTAGATTTCACTAATTAAATTCTGTATCTTTGTTTTCCTCCAAAAATAAAATTTACTTTAAAGTTGGTTATAGAAGAAGGCCAGTTCTTCGTAATAAGATGCAGTGCCCTACTTATTAGAAGGTTTCACTCCTGAACTTTTATCTTGGAAGCTTGTACCTTCAGATTAATGTGGCTGAAGATGCTATAACTGTTTGCTTTCCTTTGCTTTTGAAACTTCAACTGTAAAACCATTGGATACTTTCACATTTTCTCCCTTGATCTTTATTGATCGATGATATTTAGAGGTTTTTTGTACTGACAAGATTTAAGGGTTTCCAGACTGATCAGAGAGCAGGAAGCCCAAAAGGCAGAGCCAGTACGGTTGTCAACTTAAGCATTTGAAAGCTTATATTATTTCTTTTCCCATGCAAGACCCTTTCTTGTTTATTTTCATCTTTCCAATAGGACTGTTTTGTTTTTCTCTTCGACTGGAATCAAGAGAACTCAACGTGGCTTTGCTTCTCTTGGGAAGCAGTGTGTATCCCCCACATCATCTTGATGGACATTAGGCAGCGCTCTCTGATTACAGTACTCTTTTGATCTAGAACTGTCTTTAACACAGTTTATAATGTATTTGTCCCCAAAATATGTGAAGTAGAGGTATTTCAAGGAAAGCATTCCTTTCTGAATTAATTGATTTTTAATTCCTCTTAATTTTTTTCTGGAACGTGGCAATCTCATAGTAATTAATTAATTTATGAATCAATGCATATTTAATTACTTATATAATTATTATTACTCTAGAATTACTGACAGGCAGTGTTTTGATGAACTTAATTAATGCCCCATCCCTTTAAATTCTATTTTATAGTTACTTGTAATATTACTACTTTCAGCTATGTATTTAAACAGCCTGAATCGTATCTCAGCACTGGACCTAGCACACCAAACCTCGCGTGATTCCAGTCAAGAATTTGCGACTATCAGTTCTTAACCCTGAGTATCAGATCTCTTTTTGATTTTTCTTGCCTATTAATATACTGATGGTGTCATAACGTTATGCATGTTTCCTACTGGAGTAAAGTTATTAAGGAAACAAATGGTTTATATCAGACATCAGTCCACCATAGTAATCATGTACTTCTATCAAAGAAAAAAATTCTCTCCTTCTCTGGCAAGGAAAATGTAATGCTGAATGCTGGGGGCAAATTGTTATTTTCAAATGCTTTCCATTCTCGTACACATCTAGCATATACATTGTTTAATTTGGTCCTCATTTACTGCTAGTGATATATGTGAGGTATCAGATGACCTATAAAACTGCAGAAAATACCTGCAGAGAGCAAATTCTGATTTTTGCTTTCGGTGGGGGCAATGAATGTCCTTGCTTATTGTACAGGACTGCCAGCAGGCAGGTGGGAGAAAGGTTTTATATTAGCCAACTGCACAGCATTGTGTTTAGTGGCCTTTGCACAGGTGGGATCTGGTCTGTCTGCTGCTACCCTTGTCCTTATGGCAGGCTGCTTCAAGGAGGCACAGTTCAACCCCTTACAAAGAAATGTAAACTTCTTTATGCTAACTCAATTAATTGACTGATCGGCTTATTTTGATAAATCCTTCCTGACCTCTATTGATCTTGCTGTTATGCTAATGCTATATTGTCTTTTTATGTATTAATGTAGCAGAATGCTTTTAAATCTGTTCTACTAGTTTAAGGTAGCTAGTACTTCATCTTACCTGAATCTCCATCCACTATTTCTCAGAAATAATTTCTTGTTACTTCAGTGTTTCTGAGGAAGCATCTTTGAATTATTTGTACACACTACTGTTTTGGCTGTTGCTGAAGGCTTTGTTTTGCCTCCTCTGCATTAAAGCAACTCTCACATTGATAACACTTCAACTGTTACCTTTTTTAATAAAAACAAAAGCAAGGTAACAAAAAGAATTCAGTCCTCTTGACTAACAAGGAGAACGCTTCCTTTTTGTTTCTTTTTGCATGATTACCAACATGTTCCCTGTCCTCATTTTTCTTGTGTGCTTATACAGAATTCTCTTTATTCTTTCCTTAGCTACCACTGAGCATACTTACAGTATATGACAGTTTTTCTTTAACAACTCTTACTGGAACTTGGTTCATGCCTGAACCAAAACTCCTTACACAGCAGGTCATGGCTGGAGAAAGTAGAGTCACAAGATTAGGAACATGTAAACCCCAACTATTATCCCTGCATGCAGAGGGGGATTAGGAGTTGCATTAGCAGTTGTAGAAAGGTCTTTGGTGTAATGATTTTGTTGCTCCAAACAGAATTAACTCCTACCCTAGCACAAAGCTTTTGAATGGATGAGTCTGATTTTGTGTTGCATTTGAGCTTGTCAGATCCAGTTTACAAAAGGATTATTTCTCTGCCTGCATGTGAGTATTTCTTTCTACTACAGAGCTGGAGGCCAACAGTATGATTCAGTTGTCCATAAAGACACATTCGCATCAGTCACTTCTAAAGGACAGGTGTACAAGGAGTTTGCTCAGGGTTGTAAGTGATGGCCTTTGATTCCACAAACTTCAGCTCAGTGTCTTGGGTGGCTCTTGCATTTTCTTGCTATGCTTCATTCTCTTTTGCCTTGGGACACGAATTGCTCCAGAGCACTGCCTGAACTGTCATTGATCAGGAACAGCCTCTGCTGAGTTTCTCATTGAGCTAACTGCTGCTTGCTCAGGCAAGGTACCATTTGGAGCAACTGCTTCTCTTCTGTCTCCAGCCATTTTTCCCCCACCCCTGGTCAATGTTTTTTGATTCTTCCATGAACCCTCACTTGAACAGTTGTGAGCCATTTGGTTTCTAACCCGATCTCCATCAAATTTTGTCTTGGTGACAAGGCAGGAGGGGGTTTGGAGCTGGTTTTACCCTATAGGCTTTTGTAAGTTGCATTTTGAAAAAAAGGATCTTTCTTTCTCCCCATATTTCAAGGTTTCTCTTCCTTTTTGTCATTTCTCTTCCTTATTGGCCATGGAGCTGAATGAGTATATTTACTTTGTGTTTCATTAGCATGCTTCTTTGTGTTTCATTTAGCCTTGTCTGCTTTTTTCACCCAGTTGCTTAATTCTTCATAAATATTGCACCAATATAATAATGACTCCACCTATTTCTTTTGGCAATTCAAGGCCTTCACCACACTAGTGTCTTTTCAGAGGGCCACTAGTAACCTTAACCTAAGCAGAGCGTATCTATTTGCTCTGTCTCTTGTGCCATAGAAATCCAAACCATTCCCTAACCCAAGCTGTTACCACACCTCCACCTTCTCACTAGCTCTTTCTCAGCTGGAGTCACCTTGCTTTTCTTATTTTATCTGCAAAATGACTAAGCTGTTGTCAAATTACAGATTCTATGAAATATTCCTTTTTTTTTTTTCAGGTGTGAATCAGGATATACTGGACAGCACTGTGAAAAGACAGACTTTAGTATTCTTTATGTTGTCCCAAGTAGACAAAAGCTTACGCATGTTCTTATTGCAGCAATAATTGGAGCTGTACAGATTGCCATTATAGTTGCAATTGTCATGTGCATAACAAGGTAGGTAAAGACTAAAGCAGTGAAAACCTACACATTGTATAGATATATTTTTCTGCATTTAAATGTATGATGCCCAACATTTTTTCTTCAACATATATCCTAAAATACCCCCATAAAAACTACCTAATGACTGAAACAGAAGGATTATGCAACATCCTATCTCCCCCTTTGTTTTTTGGTCACAAAAGACAGATTTTTTTAAATTCCAAAACCACTGGTAACCACTCTGAATCTCCAGACCAAATACACAGCAGAGCAGATCAGCCTTGAAACACATCCAAAAGGTCAGCTACTCTGCTAGACATTCACTGGACTTACTGAAGCATTGCTGATACCTTACAGAAGATATGATCCCTGGCTACCACCCAGTGAAACCAGAGAGGTTGACAAGGTGCTGTTCCCTGCAGGACCACTGTAAGTGGTGTTACATAGAGAAAGAAGAAGTATCCCTCACACCATATATATTTTCTGAAAATTATTGTGCAGCTAGTCCCATTATTAGACACTGTCGATTGGAACCTATTTTATGAAATGTAAAGGTGCAGAAGCACAGAATTCAGGTTTTTGGGTTGTCTTGAACTCTCACCCTCAGTAAAAGCTGAGATGAGAGCCATGGGTTCTTTTTGATGACAAGGGATTCAGTTCTAGGACTTGAACCAAACAAGGACTAAGGGCTGTGGTATAGATTAAGGATGGCTTAGTTGCGTTATAGGTGTATGAAGCATTTAAGCCCTGTATTTGGGCATCCATGCCACACTTTGCCTTTTCCTCCTCAAGTCATCCTTCAGTTTTTCATCTCCATTTACTCTAGGCTGTAAAACTTTCTACTACTGCATAGTGCATGGCTTCCCAAACCCAGGGATGTAGAGTGACACCCCTATGAATGAACAATACAGGCCTCCTTCCCTACATCCCTTGCAAAGTTCAGCCTAGAAGATACAAGTACATGTATAAAACACTGCCTGCACACCTAAAAGAGTTACCTGGCTCATGCAATTGACGTCATCCCTTTTTCCCTCAACACCCTGCTGGCCAAAGCAGTGGTGTGGAAGGCTATGGTTCAGCTCCTCTTTCAGTCTCATTCCCCGCCTCATGGTCTCTTTTGTCTTGGTGCATCCCAACAGGACTGCTCCATCATGCATTGCCTGCTGTCTGACCGGCTAAGTCCCATTCCATTCGGAGTTGCTGGATTTTGTGAATCCTTTCTTAGCTATGTGTCTGACCCCAAGAAAGGGATCACCTGAGTCACCTCACAGAGAGTCCTGGGTGGACTCTGTCTCATGGGCTTCTGCGAGCAGCCAGGCACCTTGAGGCCCAGCACTTCAGGAGGCTGATTGATCCAGTCTTACCATCCACTGAGTTTTAAGAAGGAAATATGTGTAAAATAATATAATGTGTAATCTAATATAATTATTTACCATGGAATGTGTTTTGCTGGATCAAGGCTGAAGGGTGTAGCACCGTGCTGGTTTCAGTCTCAAGTTCAAGCAGAGCTCCCTTATGAGTGATGTGAGGTCCTACAAACATCCCCAGTCCAGTACTGAACAGCAGGAGCATCCTTCCAGTCAGCACAGCTCATAGACTCCTTGCTATTGCTAAGTACAGAAAATTAGGTCAATGTGTTATTGTTAGGCTTAATTTTATGTGGCATATATAAAATCAGCCCTCCTTTTTTATTTCCTTCTCTTGTTTTTTAACAGAAAATGCCCCAAAAACAATAGAGGACGTCGGCAGAAGCAAAACCTAGGCCATTTTACTTCAGATACATCATCCAGAATGGTTTAACTTAGTGCTTTTTATACCTACATTGACCATGTGATGTACATTTTTATTATATCTTTTTTTAAAGAATGGAAATATTTATTTCAGAGGCCTTATTTTTGAACATTTTTAGTGTAACAATGTTGGTCTGTATTCTGAAAGCATCAGCTCTAACAGCTATGGACTGGTTTAGTATCTTTACTTTTATGTTTTTGAATACAGTAGTTCATTTTCTGTATCTGTGTCACATGGTTATATAATAGACTTGTGCTTTATCCATGGAATGTAATATTTTTGGGAACACAGATTTATTCCAACAATGGTTGTAGACTTAAAAAACCCCAACAAACCAACAAAAAAAGTCCACATTACCTAACAAACAAGGCATGAACTAAAGGTAAAAATGTTTACAGCTTACTTTTCTTATGAGGAACTAGAAAACACTGTGTTTAAATACCGTAGATATTTAAATGTTTTTGGAAGTTAGTAACTGATTTTTTAGACACTGCCTATCGCATGAACTGTGAAGCTGTGTGCTGTGTGTAGTTGTAACATATTTATAAAATGTGTGGGCTGGGTCTAAGCACTGCCATCTTCATAAATAATTCCAACAATTTATTTTTAAAGAGGAAAATTATAAATTTCATAATTTGGGAAGTTACCTGGTAGAACAGATGGCGCAGGTCCAAAAGAAGTAGGTCTTAGTAGATTTAGGTACTGTAAAAATTGGTGTTGAATAATTGAACAAAAACAATTGGAATAAAGCCTACTTTATCACTGTTAAAAACTGTTTTAATACTTCTTAAACTTTTTTAAAGAAAATACATGTTTTAACACCTACAATACGGATTGTATAGTGTTTGTGATTAAAATTAAAAAATAAAAGTGAATGAATTACTAGTGCTCTTGTATAGAGTATTTTCAAGAGCTAAAGAAGTCCATCCAAATTAGTCTGCTGGTCATAGTTATATTAATAGACTGTTAGTTGTCGTTTGAAAGATCCCAAGATAAAGTGTGAATAGGATGTGTTCAACTGTTTTAACATGTAGTTTAGGCTTTCAGAATTTTGCATGTAGGATTTAATAATTTGTTCAATAAAAAAAATGCTTTCAACATTTTGAACTGGAAAAGCATGTCACAATACAACATTTTCACTATATTGCCTCTGGTTTAGTGTGTTTATTTGTTACCTCACGGGGTAATTGCAGCAAGCTGAAGACCTGAATTTGTTTTGCTGGAAGAAAACAACTGTGCTAATTTTCCTGACTGCTTTTTGAATTCCCTCGGAGGAAAGCACTCCAGTAACATGAAACAAAAGTAGATCTTTAAAAATATGCAAGTTTGCTTTCCTGCTTAATTAGCAAGTTACTTAACTTTCCTGGATTAACACTAATAACCTCATCAGTACAGAAGCGTGACCCTTTAAACGTATGTTCCTTTCCAGATATTGCTTCCTAATTTTAGGGGTTTCATGTTGCTGAAAGTATCTGAACAATCACATGTGGATATTTTATAGTCAGAAGTATTTGACCAAGCTCCAGGAGCGGCGTTTCACGCCCTACTTTGAACATTGCCGGAGCCAGCTGTCACCGTGGCTCCCTGCAACAGCGCCAGACTCACTCTGGCAGGATCACCGAAACTTCGCCTCCGTCCAACCTGGCTGAAGGCAGGCAAAATGGATCGCCGTGAAAACACATCAGAGGCTGACAGAACACACCAAAATCGTCTCTCCAGTGTCATTGAGGAGGAAGAAGAACAAGATGCAGCTTACACTATTGTGACAGTCCTGGACAAAGTGGCCAACATTGTCGACAGCGTGCAGGCGAGCCAGAAAAGGATAGAGGAGAAGCACAGGGAGATGGAAGATGCCATCAAGACCATACAGATTGACATTTTAAAGCTTGCCCAGGCTCATGGCAATACAGGCTTCATGGTGAACAAGTTACTGCAGAAAACCAGCAAAGTCAGCTCCACCATGAAGGAGGTGCGGGCTCGCGTGGAGAGACAGAGCACCAGCGTGCGGAAGGTGAAAGCAAAACAAGAGGAGATGCTGAACAAAAACAAATTCCGGGTCGTAATTTATCAGGTAACCACAAACTTAATTTTTTGTAGTACTGTTGCTTTGCCACCTCCTTGATAGCTGCTGGTAGATGTTGGTTAACAAACCAAAAGATGCAGTCTCTTGAACATGAGTTATTTTGTGCTTTCTTTAACACTGAGCTGTGCTCCTCAACGTCTTTCAGCACAAACCTACTGATGGCAGTACACAGGGTCTATTATTAGTGTTGGTAGATTTCTGAGCCAGTGGTGTAAGATTAACTGCAGATCAGCAAGGACTATTTGCTGCCTTTCCGAAAGGTAATATGAGGCAGGCCCTGTAAATCTTGACATACAAACCATGCCTGACATTCATCTCTGTTATTTTTTTCACCATATTAGGTAGAAGTGCAAATAGCAAAAGTGTTCTAAGTCTCTTTGGAACACAGACTTTCTTCTAACACTAATTTCAAAACATGGTTCATTTAACTTGCAGCGTTGCTCAGGCTCTCCTACTGCTGACAAATTGGAGCTTTTTTCATTGTCTCAGTGTATAACAGTATATGCACAAACTGAAGCTCAGCCCCACAAACCCTTCATGACAAAAAGTACTCCTTTGCATGCTCTACTTCGGAAATGTTTTAATAATTTATTTTCTTTCACTAACCTTATTCTAGGATGTTCACTGTTCTTACAAATAATTGCACTTGAAAAGAAGTTTCATGAGAAGTTTGAAGAGAAGTTTTGTGAAACAGCATTGTCTCGCATCCATACAAACAGTGCAGGCAGTTCATGGGGTCTTGTCAGTGAGTGCTGTGAAACCCACTTGTTACATGGTCTGATCCTGTATTTGCTGGAACTTCCCTGTTACCCAGGTCTATAGAAAGTACGTGTTTAATCTTTTGCCAGAAGCATAGTTGCTCTTTTTTACCAGCGAGTCACCAAAGCTTCTTTCAGATGAGTTGTATTTCTCATTAGGCATTCTTGAAAATACCACACCTCGTGAGTAACACAATGCGCCCCCATCACTCAGCTTTACACCCTGCTCTTGCATCTGTTTGTACATAAATAACATCATTTGCAATGAATGGAGCCCTGTGCTTCACCGAGTATATTCACCACCATGTATGGCTGACAAATTCTTCTGCATAATCCAGCTTTCTTAACTACTTCATTTTCTGCTACTGGGAAAAAATACCTAAAAAAAAAGAAAAAGCTGAAGGCAGGAAATATTACCTCTTTAATGTTACGTTAGTACCACGTACAGCCAAATTGTGCCTCCTAGATTTTCTAGCTGAATGACTTACTATGCATGTTCAGGAGAAAGTATAGGCCCAATATGACCTATTATTACAATTATTGCAAACTGCATCATCATGATGGAATAGAAAACAGGCACTTTCACTTTTTCCTTGCAAATCATTTCCCATCTAAAGGTAATAAATATCTCTTGACTCCTCTGGTTAATGGCTTAATGCCATTTCATTGATGGGCCTTTACCATAATGGCTGCGCAGAATCGATGCTTTGAAAGCATTTGTTCTTAAAACAGTATTCATTATATAATGTAAATTTTTCTGCTAGCAAGACATGAGTTGTTGTTTATTTAAAAATATAGTAAAATATGGTGAAAATGGATTTACATGCTGCTATAAATAACAGCTGTTGATGTTTTGAGATACTTGATACAAAAGGTGGCTCTCACAATATGTGCTTTCTCTAAGAATTGCCTTCAGTGGAGTGTCTGAGCTTTCTGCTGGTTTTGCTGGACAAGAATGACCTGCACCCTATTTTGTGTGTTTAATTCTTAGTTGGTACTTTTCAGGAAGGGAACCAGCACTTTTTATTGTTCACTTTCGAGCTTCCTCTTCCCACTGTAGCTGAGAACTGCCAATGAGAATATGAACAACTCCTTCTTTAACTTCCATTCCTTTTGTAAGGTAGATTGAAGAATCTTTTCCCACTTCCACAGAAGAGGGGCAGATATGTTGATCCGTCTGGGATCTGAGATTTAACACTTCCCTGGAGGAGGATAACTGCATCGTTCCACAAAAGCTGGAACATGCTAGGTAGTCTAGAGTCCACTGAAGCTTTAAGGCACAGGTTTAGGAAAGTCTCTTTCACTCACGTGCAGTGATTTTCACACTGTTGATTTATACCCTTGTAGGCATACTGCGGCAGTGCCAAGACCTGAATGACTGAAGCTTGGCTACGATGAGTGGGAGTCTGTTAATAGCTACAGAATCAGCATACTCCCTTCACTATATGTTACAAGTGGATATAACCAAGTTGTTTACTCTGTGGTTGTGACTGATAGCTCTTCTGTAGTGAGATTTTTTTCTAATGAACCATTTGGGACATTGTGATGAGGGCAGTGACCTGTGTGTAGCTGGTATTGAATGCCTAGATGAGTGAGTGCATGTGGGTTTTAGTTTTAACTTTTACTGGAACATCAGCATATGAGGAAAAAGGAAACACCAATTAAATACTAAAGATTTTCTTTCTAGTGGATAGCTTTGATCTTATCATTGATAGAAGGCGTAGGCAGGTTGAAAAGAATCATTGGCTGAAAGAGATTGTTCCAAGACACCTCAGCAATGATGAAAAGAGTTGGCAATATCCTCACATTAAAAAGAGACAAAGTGATCATCCTTGAGCAGAATGATTAGGGAATTGAGCACACTAATTTTTAGAAGTCCATGTGGTTGAGGAAAAGATATGATAGCAGGCAGCCCTTCTCCCCAGGCTGGCTGCATGATTAAAAATGCCAGGTTACTTAAGACTTTCTAGTGAGGTCTTTGACCCTGGAGTGCTATGTGCCCAGAGACTATAATAGGAAATACAAAGGATGTTGTAGGTTGTATAGGTCACTGCTCACTTCTGTTCAGGTTAGTCTGAATAACCAGCTGTGAGAGCTATCATTTCTCTGCAGTCAAAGAGCATTTAACAATTTAAATGATTCTGACTAAATTATTCAGAAAATAAAAGAGGGGTTTTTTTGGTTTTTTTAATACTGAAAGAACTTGTTTCTTTTGCTTTTCTGCATGTTCTGCAAGTCCCTCTTTGAATGGGAGTGTACAGGCACCAGAAAGTCGTTGTTACGGTTACTGGACTTTTTTCTATTATTACTTCACACAAGCACCGTAACAACTTCCTATGAAGGGAGACACATGCCTTTGTTTCACTCAGTGCTGTCTGACGTTTGAAATTACTGGACATGTCAAAAACCAAGTAAGGTTATGGCTTGACTGGCCTACACAATTATGCTACAACTGATTTGTTTGCCCTGCAATTGCTTTACCACCCACATGGGGAAAGGCTCGCAGAAGCATCCTTGTGTATGCTGCTGATCTTATGCATATATAAATTAAAATATAAGTGTCCTGTCCTGGCCAATGTCCTTCTGTAGCATAATGACTAGGGCAGTAAAAATGGTGAAATCAAAATGGGGACAATAATCTGGAAACCTGAAGTGGAGACACTTTCATCTGAAGGGGCTGTTAGAAATCAGAGTGTGAGGAGCTCAGGAGATGAAGGCGCTGAGAGATCAGGCTCATGAACTTGCTGTCCATCGGCACAGAGTTTTAATTACAGCTATTCTGAGCCAAGCTCAGAGAGTAACTGTGACAGGAAAGGCAGCAAATATAACACTTCTATTTAGAAACAGACAAAGGAAATCATGTGAGCCATTGCCATTAATCTGGTACCATCTGGGCATGAGAATGGCAGGCTCAAAAGGGCTCTGCAGAACAGTATCCTTAGTAGCATGAAGTTTAATAGCTCACCAAGGGCAGATTGTGCTGGGTAGCTCATATTAGATCATTTTTCTGTTTTGCAGAAACATGAGAGATCTTATCCTTTCTCGTATTTATGTACCTGGTATTTTACTTCATAACAGATAATCTGGAAAAACAACAGGTAACAGTGGATTGTGTTGAAATTGGAAGTGAGGCTTGTGATGGGTTTCTGAAAGTGTATGTGTTTCTAAGACCATTTTTGTCAACTGTGTAATGTTTTCATTAAAAATCTCAGTACAGAAAAGGTGTAATGCTCAAAATTAGGAGGTGTCAGTTCACAGAAAGAAATATAGATATGAAACCAAACTATCTTTACAGCTATAATA